TGAGTTCCCAACTTATTCCTTTAGGTAGCTCTTGATTGTGAATACTCTCCAATTGCCAATGATTCCCTAAACTATATCCCTAACCCTGGACAACTACAGTAGCCTCCTAACTAGTATACCTACTTTGGTTTTTATTCCTATTATCAACATAGCAGCCAAGGTGATCACTTTAAGATGTAAATCAGGGTTGCCTGGATGTCTCAGTCAGTTAAGTTTACACCTCTTGACTTGAGCTCTGTCACCTCTGTGCTGACAGTACGGAGCCTGCTTGGGATTCTCTTTTTCCCCCTCTCTCTCTCTCTCTCTCTGCCCCTCCCCTGCTTGCACATTAGCTCTATCACTCTCAAAAATAAAGTTTTTTTAAAAAAAGTAAATCAGATCAAGCCATTTCTCTAATTAAAACCTCCAAAGGCTTCCCATTGAATTTATGACAAAATTTCAACTCTTTCCTCGAGAGCTTCAAAATCATCCTGTATAATCTAGTCCCTCACCACCATTCTGATCTTCATCTTCCTTTTCTTCTTGCTGCCTTTCCAGCCTCACTTACCTGGGACATTACCCATTCATTCTCACCTTAGACCCTTTGCTCAGAATGCTCTTTCCCCTAATTTCTGAATAGCTAGCTCCTTGCTCAGATCTCAGCTTAAATGTTGCCTACTCAGAAAAGCCTTCTCTGAACACTTGATATAAAACATTCACATAAGCATTCTCATTTCACTCTTTTTAGACTTACAGCATAGCACTTCACACCATCTGATATTTGTCTTTAAAAAATTTTTTTTAATGTTTATTTTATTTTGAGAGAGAGAGAGAGGGAGACAGTGTATGAGTGGGGGAAGGGCAGAGAGAAGGAGACACAGAATCCAAAGTAGGCTCCAGGCTCTGAACTGTCAGCCCAGAGCCTGATGTGGGTCTCAACCCCAAGAACCATGAGATCATGACCTGAGCTGAAGGTGGAGGCTTAACTGACTGAGCCACCCAGGTACCCCACTATCTGCTATTTTTCTTATTAATTTGTTCTTGTTTTTCTCCACCACCACTAGAATATAAGCTCCAAGTCCCAGTGTTTAGGAAAGTGCCTGGCACAAAGGAGGTATATAATAGTATGTATATAATAAATAATTGTTGAATAAATGGAGTCTTAATACCAATATACTGGTTATGTCAACAGAGAATCCAGTTCTTTGAGCATAATCTTTTCCACTAATTCTTAACACCCATTCTCAGTTCCCTACATACAGGTTTCTCATATTGTTAGTATAAGACTCGATCTCACTTAATTTTTTAAATTTTATTTTTAAAAAGCAAAAAAAAAGCATTTTAAACTGCTAAATTATTTCAACCTATGCTGTTACCTGTGTTTGTCTTCACGAATTCCTATATTAAATAACTAAACTACAGCCTACTAAGTAGGAGTTCTATAAGACAGTGACTAAAATGTATGACACTAGGTAATGCTTTTATTTACATGTTATTTTTCAATTAAAAGGCCTTATCATTTATCTAATACCAATCAGAGAACAGTAGTTTATTTAAAATTTAGCTTATGTGTTTGTATGTTAGCTTTATGAAAGGGCTGATCATATTTTATTATATATACATCTTTCTGTGTACATGGTACATGTGATTGTGGCACAAATACATGATCATAACACTCTTTCTTTTGAAACACTATGTTTTCACTTTCAAGATATTTTATAGATATCTTTCCTTGTCAAAAGTAGACCTATATCATTATTTTAGATATAACTATACCACAGTATATCAACCAGTCCTGTATTATTGGACATTTAGGTTTATTCCATTTTTTAAATTGGTATAAACATTTAAATGAATATCCTTTAATATTCAGCTCAGTGTATGTGTTATTTTATACAAAGAGGATTTTGATTCATATTACCAGATTGTCCTTTATGAAGTTGAAAGGACCTTATTGTTAGAGAAACTTTTTTTTTTTTTTTTAGCAACCCCCAGGTTATTCTCCTGCTTGTCTTGTCATTGTCTTCCATGTCATTAGAAGTGTGGAATTTTCTGCTACCTTGCCAGGCTTTAGAAGTAAAGTGAACCTTGAAGAGGGCACTTGTTGGGATGAGCACTGGGTGTTGTATGGAAGCCAATTTGACAATAAACTATATTTAAAATAAATTAAAAATACTAAAAAAAAAAAAAAAGTAAACTGAACCGCATATCTAGCAGCCCAGTGGTGGGTAAGACCTTCTTCTCTCATTCGTTTTACACAGAGCTTTGAAGAAGCTCTGAGCTATCCTGGGAGTTTTTTCTGAATCACTATATGATGAGTACTGGTTCAGAGGGGCTCCTGGGGCTCCTAATAAGAAGGTAGTGGTTCTGGCTTCTCTCCTAGGGTTTTTTCTGTGCTGCTTCTGAAGAACAGATTCATAGACTCTCAGGGTTGAAAGAACTCTTGCTACCACTTAACTAGCTGAATACCTTCAATCACACCCCTGGGATGTGTCTCTCAGTCTGTCCTTGAATATCCCTGGTGATAAAGAATTTACTTCTACTGAGAGTTAGTCCATTTTATCTGTGGATCACTCTGATCAGAGTTTTCCCAGTTACCAAATTGTTCACCTCTTTTATTAAACAGAACAGATGGGGAACTGTATAAGAAATAGCTAAACTCCACAGCCAGAAGTGCATGCTACTACAAAAGCAGCCAGTCTGGTCATGGCTCTCAGTCAAACTGGTGTAAACCCAATCCTCATTGAGGTCTTGGAGGTAGAGGGATTCTAGAACTATGTTTTGATTCATTAATCTCCAGTCTTCAAAGATCTGTCCTTCATAGCCTGTGAAAACTTGTAACATCCTTTGTTTGCTTCAATGCTATGCTTTATATCAAATAATTTATTTCTTCTAAAATATGTAACTACTAGGTAAGATTAACAGTCCATATTTGTCTAGATATGAAACACCTTTTTTTTTTATAAAGGTACATTGTTTTCAGAGGCCCTAAAATCATAACTTACTTCTAGAATAAGCTCAAAATATCAAGTTCTATTGAGTGAATTTTCTTTAGCATGACATAGTTCTCAGTTATTGTTCATATTCCTTATGGTTGTCTCTGCTGTCTGGTGTTTTAGAGGTTGACGTTATCAAAATTTTAACTATGTAACTTTTCTAATGGCCACTGTGATTTAGTATTCTCATTTCTTAAAATTCAGACATCCTTACATTTTTCCTGACAGTTCCTAAAGGTTGTCATCATAAAGTCACATGCATTTAGGTAGTATTTTATTTTTCATAATGCTACAGTATAATCCATGCTATTCGTTGCAGTTCTGTTTTGTTTTGTTTTGTTTTTAAAATTTTTTTTTCAACGTTTTTATTTATTTTGGGGACAGAGAGAGACAGAGCATGAACGGGGGAGGGGCAGAGAGAGAGGGAGACACAGAATCGGAAACAGGCTCCAGGCTCTGAGCCATCAGCCCAGAGCCCGACGCGGGGCTCGAACTCACGGAGCACGAGATCATGACCTGGCTGAAGTCGGACGCTTAACCGACTGCGCCACCCAGGTGCCCCTGTTTTGTTTTTAATATGTGTTTTTGGGAGAGTACAGTGGAGGAGGGGCAGAGAGAGGGGACAGAGGATCCAAAGTGGGCTCTGCTGATAGGCTGACAGCAGTGCTGAGTGACAGCGGGGCTCGAACTCACTAACTGCAAGATCATGACCTGAGCCAAAGTCAGATGCTCAACCAACTGAGCCACCTAGGTGTCCTGTAATTTTTATGTAATGGTTACATAGATAACTAATATATAACTACTGTCATCTCTAATCTTTGTTTTAAGTTTTTCATTTAAATATTTAACACTCTGGGGGTGCCTGGATGGCTTAGTCACTTGAGGATCTAACTCTTGATTTCGGCTTAGGTCATGATCTCATGGTTTGTGAGTTCGAACCCCACATTGAGCTCTACACTGACAGCACTAAACCTGCTTGGGGTTCTCTCCCTTTCTCGCTGCCCCTCTCTTAAAATAAATAAATAAACTTTAAAAAGAAGTTATTTTTGTAATAGTTTAGTTTTTATCACTTTAAACTTGATAATTCCTGGTGTGTAAGCCATTATTTGCTAGGGCTTTAGAGATAAATTATAGTTTTGCAGGCATAAGGATAACACTGTCATTCTCCCCACTCTTTCTGCCCTTCCCCCTTTCTTAATCTGACCTTGTAGGTTTTTTCTCAAGTATAGATTTTTTTTTTTTTTTAAGTAGTAGCACATAAATGTAAGACATATTGCTTAGGCTGTGGATCATCCTTGGTATTCACATGGAGTAGCTGACATCTTGGCATCATTCAGCATTCCAAAGATTAGGAGCCACTGCTCTGTCACAATTCTTAGTTTTCCAGGATTACCTGACAAACTCAGGGAAAGGAACAGGATGAGCCCAGAGAAATATCTCAGGAGCTGAAATCATGCCATGTAGCCCATGGCAAGCCTGAGGTAGCTTTGAAAACCCACAGAACCACCAGAGAAAGGGATTGAATGGAATCCTTTTTACATCTTTTGATTCCCCATGAAGGACACCAGGATTTAACTCAGTGAATCCCAAGGGACTACAGGAAACCTTTGATTTATAATCTAATTGATTTCTAGAGGAAAGTGGAAAGTTGAGATCACTCTCTTGTTTTTCTTGTCACATTATTATAAACTAGGGTTCTATCCCTGGAAACTACAGATCTTCCCTGACTTACAGCGGGGTTACATCCTGATAAGACATTTTCAACTTATGATAGGTTTAAGTGAAAAATGCATTTAACATTCCAAACCTAGCAAATGTCATAGCTTAGCCAAGCCTGCCTTGAACGTGCTTAGAACACTTACATTAGACTACAGATGGGCAAAATCATCTAACACAAAGCCTATTTTATAATAAAGTGTTGAATATGCCTGTAATTTATTGAACACTATACTGGAAATGAGAGAAAAAGAATGGTTGTGTTGGTACAGATGGTTGTAAGTGTATTGGTGGTTTGCCCTCTCCATCATGTGGCAGACTGGGCCCTGGAGCTCACTGCAGCTGTGCAGCGTCACGAGAGGACCCTACCATATTGCTGGTCTGGGACCAGATCAAAAGCCAAATCACTTTCACACCATCGTCAAGTCAAAAAATAGTAAGCTGATGAGGGGCTGTCTGTTCCAATATTTTATATATTCCATATATATTCCAATCCATATATTATTAATATATATGCTGCATATTATTATTTTACTTACATTTTTATAAACATATACTAAAGTATGTAATAACAGTTTTTATAGCTGCAATGAAAGAAAGCAGGCATGAGGTAGTAGTGGTTAAAGAACCAGATTCTGGAGCCAGACCGTAGATTCAAATTCCAACTTCATTCTTTACTGGCTGGGTAATCTTGGGCAAGTTACTTAACATCTCTATGCTTCAGTTATCTTTAAAATGGTAGTAGCCGTTTCCGCCTTATAGAGCTGCTCTGAGGATAGAATGAATTAATGTGTAGAAAGTACTTAGAACTGGCAATGTCTGACATTGTTAGTAAGTGTTCACTGTTATTTTATTTGTTGCACATGGTCATTTTAGGGAATATTTTCTGAATGGTCTTAAAATACCAACTCAATAAAGTTGGCTTTGAAGGCTGCTGCTTTTCCAGATAAGCCTTCCTGATGCTAGAAATGGGCATTCTTCGTCATTTCCTTCAAGGCTGTTCATAATCTGGCTCCGGTCCTTTCTTTTGCATGCTTTCTCTATACAGGTTCTCTACTCAGGTTGCACTTTCTCTCTCCTGGTTCTGCTCAATGCCTACCTCCTTTAAAAAAAAATTGTTTTCAGTATAGTTGTCCCACAATGTTACATTAGTTCCTGTGTACAACATAATGATTCAGATTTTCTATGCTGTGCTCGTAAGTGTAGCTACCATCTATCACTAAACAACGCTATCAGAATATCATTGACTATATTCCCTATGCTGTGCCTTTTATTCCCTTATTTATTCCATAACTGAAAGCCTGTATTTCCCACTCTCCTTCACAAATTTTGCCCATCTCCCAGCCCCCTTGCCTCTCACAACCACCAATTTGTTCTTTGTATTTAGAGGTCTGACTCTTTTTGTGTATTTCAATGCCTACCTCTTTTGCAAAATTTTACCACTGTTATCTGAAAAACGTTGGAATGTATTAAATGCTGTAGTGTTCTGTTTGTTTTGAAGATGATTTATGAATCACAAACCCTTTGAGACTAGGGTCTATGCCATAGTACAATTCTGTATCCCCTGTCACTTAATACAGTGTAGCAAGTACTTAAAGTATGTGTTATTTAATTGGATTACACAACAAATTGAATTTGTGTGTGTACATTTGCACGAGTGTTCAACTCATGTAACAGGTTAACACTTTTGAAACTTAACTGTTTCACAAACTTGGAGCACTTGCGAGAAATTTAAAAATTACTACAAATAAGTGAGAACACCTGCATATCAAATTGTTTGGAACTGCATAGTAACAATAACAACAACAAAATTCACACTTTATATATTGTAATTTGGGCCTGCATCTGCTGCGATAATTATAACATTTCTCCTTTTGAAACTACTAATACTGTAAGGCATAGGCAGAGAAGGACTCCAGAGCTCTGAATGTCCACAGCACAGATGGGTTGTAAGAATAAGGAACTAGATAAGAAAGGGACAAAGGAGAGAAAGGGAGAAACATGTATTTGAATTTGCATCCTTAATATTTAATAATAGTAATAAAACAGCTAAACAATATGGCATAATAAGACCTTTTAACCTTTTGGTTATTGGTGAAATTTTGGGTATAAAAACTGTTGTACTTATCTGAAAAATATAAGATATCTAAATATCTATAGGATTATAAATTTATTCCTAAATCTTAGACATTTTAACTGAAATTGACATAAAAATAATTTTATGCTATAATTTCAACCATCTTTGTCTTAACTGAAATTTGGAATTATCCATTCTCTCCTTACCTTGTATACCTTGTGAATCAAGAGTTTACTGTATTTTAATTGCCTGATTTTTACCCCCCTTTCACTCTTTGTTACTGAATATACTTGAATATAGATTGTGACATTAGGTATTTTAGGTGTAAACGGTGAGTTCTTAACAAGAATACATTAAATTAGAGACTCATTTTTTTTTTTAAACCAGATACTCTAGATGAATATTTTGAATATGATGCAGAGGAGTTCTTGGTCTCTTTGGCCTTGTTAATAACAGAAGGACGAACACCTGAATGTTCTGTAAAAGGTCGCACAGAAAGTTTCCATTGCCCTCCAGCACAGTCCTGTTACCCAGTAACTTCCAAACATGAATGTAGTGACAAGCTGGCTCAGGTGAGAATTGTGTATTGAGTATATTTTCTTTTTCTTTCATATAAACTAGTTTAAATTCTGTGATCACTTTTGTTACATGACAATTAAAATGTTCACACTTAAGTTTAAAATCACTTATAACTGGGGCGCCTGGGTGGCGCAGTCGGTTAAGCGTCCGACTTCAGCCAGGTCACGATCTCGCGGTCCGTGAGTTCGAGCCCCGCGTCGGGCTCTGGGCTGATGGCTCAGAGCCTGGAGCCTGTTTCCGATTCTGTGTCTCCCTCTCTCTCTGCCCCTCCCCCGTTCATGCTCTGTCTCTCTCTGTCCCAAAAATAAATAAAAAAGGTTGAAAAAAAAAATTAAAAAAAAAAAATAAAAAAATAAAATCACTTATAACTACAATTAAAAAAATCCTAATCTTGGACCATAGCTAATACCCCTAACTCTTAAGCGATGCTCTTAAAGTCACAGTAGGTACCTTTGCAGATCAGCATGCAGGGTGACAGCCAAAATCATACCTGCCTTCTTACTCGCCAGATTTAAGATAATTGTTGCTATTGATCTTGTGTTTATTTGGTAGAATTATTTTCATGATTATTTTCTTCAGATTAACCAATTTCCCTTTTATATTCCTTTCTTTTTTCCTACGGGAGGATACTTTTTGCTATCATAGTAGTATTTTTATATAATGTTAAAAATAGTTATTTTGATAGGTACTGTATAATTTGCTATAGGGATTTTCCCAACAGTTTCTTAAATGTAGTCCAAAATTTTACATTTTTAAAATCTTGTCTATTTTGAGCATTTAATGAAAATGAGATTTTAATATTTTGGTTTTTACTTAGAGTGAATCTTTATTTTGTAACAATGACATAGTTAACAAACTAGGCTGGGCCACCTTAGGCCTGTCAGACGTGGTGTATGACAGTTATTTTTCCACAAAATAGAGCAGAAATATCCCCCTCCCCAAGAAACTTTGCATCATAAATGTTCAGTACTAATCCTTGTACTCTAGAACTCACTAGTGTTAATCCACTATTTAATGAGGAAATCTAAATAAGCCTAAGCAAAGATCTACAGTTGACTCATTTCTCATATAGATGTCTATTTTACAATTATAATTTTAAACTGTAAATATAAAATGCCTTGGGTTATTGAGGTATTTCGCTTACATTCATTTTCTCTTAAGTGTCGCCAAGCCAGAAGAACTAGGTCTGAGGTCTTACTGTTGTGGAAGAATAACCTTCCAATCATGGTGGAAGTGATGTTACTCCCAGATTGCTGCTACAGTGATGATGGGCCCACCACAGATGGAATTGATCTCAATGATCCTGCAATTAAGCAAGATGCATTATTATTAGAAAGATGGATATTGGAGCCAGTTCCTCGACAGTAAGTTGTTGAACTGAGTTTCAAGTTGTTCCTGCTAAATCAGGTTTTCCATTGCTTCTATAAATTATTTTAGTAATGTATCATGTCTTTGACTCTAATGATGTAGTAAAATTTAGACATTTAGTTCTTCTCCGACTTCAAGTGACACTAGTAAATGCACTTCGATACTCTTGAAAGCACATATCCAGAATATATTTATTTTAGCTTCTGTATTTCTAAAGTTCAATCATTTTGTACTTGCTGACATTTAAATGATACTTTTTACTTCCCTTAGGAGTGGTGATCGATTTATTGAAGAGAAGACTCTTCTATTGGCTGTCCGCTCATTTGTGTTTTTTTCTCAATTAAGTGCTTGGCTGAGTGTTTCCCATGGTGCTATTCCACGAAATATTCTTTACAGGTATGTCTTGGGCAAAATAAGGACAGTGTGTATTTAACCTTGTTGGTTAGCTACTGAATGATATTTTACCTTTTAAGCAGTTTATTTCCTTCATTTCTAAATGTAAGTGGATAAAATTTACTGAAGATTTTCTCAAAACAAGTTAGAGAATTTAAATGCAAATCAGTATGAATTTTACTTTATTTCTTTTTAATTTGCTTTTTATTTTTTTAATGTTTGTTTACTTTTGAGAGAGAGGGAGACACAGAATCAGAAACAGGCTCCAGCTCTGAGCTGTCAGCACACAGCCCAACGTGGGGTTTGAACTCCCAAGCGGTGAGATCATGACCTGAGCCGAAGTCAGATGCTTAACCAATTGAGCCACCCAAGCACCTCCGGCATAGAATGGTTTTCAGAGAGCTTTTTAGCTTTAAAGAACCCCCAATGGGCTTATGTATAAAAACTTTCTGGGCTGCCGAATTTCCATAATGGTAGACTTATTTAATTTTTGCATCTTGAAAACTGTAAATTTACAGGCTGCTGACCAAGTGTCTAATTGTTTCTTTAGGCAGTTGGCCCTGAGATTGAGTATCTCTTAATCACCTTGTACAACAGAATTAGCTAAATCCATTTATTTAGAGTAAATGCCATTTTTTTTTGTTTTAAGAAATAATTCTAAATTATAGTATTCTTGAGTTTTAATGCCTAAGTAGTCTAGTGTTCGTAAAAAGATCATCTCTAGGCTCTTTCCATAATGTCCATCAACTGATGAATGGATAAAGAAATTGTGATTTATATACACAATGGAATACTACGTGGCAGTGAGAAAGAATGAAATATGGCCTTTTGTAGCAATGTGGATGGAACTGGAGGGTGTTATGCTAAGTGAAGTAAGTCATACAGAGAAAGACAGATACCATATGTTTTCGCTCTTATGTGGATCCTGAGAGACTGAACAGAAGACCATTTGGGAGGGGAAGGAAAAAAATAAAAGATTAGGGAGGGAGCCAAAACATAAGAGACTGTTAAAAACTGAGAACAAACTGAGGGTTGATGGGGGGTGGGAGGGCGGGGAGCGTGGGTGATGGGTATTGAGGAGGGCACCTGTTGAGATGAGCACTGGATGTTGTATGGAAACCAATTTGACAATAAATTTCAGATAAAAAAAATCATCTCTATTCTAAGCATAAACTATTGTGCTTTTTATGTTGGTTTTATCAGAATGACATGCATGGTAAAGTAGCTGAAAGTAAACCCTTAATAGTAATTAATGCAAATAAAGAGAAGTATGTAACTGTTGAAAATTTTTTATAATATATGATAATGTTATAAGCATTACAATGCATTGATTCTGTATATTTCTATATGATTCTAGAATCAGTGCTGCTGATGTAGACCTGCAGTGGAATTTTTCACAGACCCCGATTGAACATGTGTTTCCTGTTCCTAATGTTTCTCACAATGTGGCCTTGAAAGTCAGCGTTCAGTCCTTGCCCAGACAATCTAATTATCCAGTTTTGACCTGTAGTATTCACACTAATATTGGCCTTTATGAGAAAAGAATTCAAGAACATGAACTTAAAGTCCATCAGCACCGCAATTCTAGTGAAGTAGAACAATGTAGTACAAATAGTTCACAGCGTCTGTGTAGCAAACAATCTTGGACCATGGCACCTGAAAGCATATTGCATGCAAAAAATGGCACAACTCCAGAATATACTGCAGCTGTCAAAAATGTCAAACTGTATCCAGGCACTGGCAGTAAATCTGACTATGGAACACGTCAAGCCAATATTCTGGGCTTCAGTGGTAGAGGAGATAAAAAGTCACATGAAACACCAGTGAGAACTTTAAAATCATTTTCAGTGATTGATTCCAGGGTCTCTAGCCACCAGAGTTCCTGGCAGTCAGTTGGTGAGACTAATCCTTTAATAGGCTCTTTAATTCAGGAGCGACAAGAAGTTATTGCAAGAATTGCTCAGCATTTGATTCATTGTGATCCAAGCACTTCCCCTGTTTCTGGACATCCATTTAATATGCAAGAGTCTAGTTCACTTAATTCCAAACTTTTCCGGGTTTCAAAAGAAAATGAAAATGTGAGAAAATGTAAAGAAACTTTCTCCATTTCCTTTGGTAGTCCTGAGCTTACCTCCTCAGAAGACACCAGTGAGGGAAAAATTCAAGTAAAACCAGATACTCCTCGAAGTGAAACTGGCAGTTCCAATGGTCTTTATTCTCGTCAGTCTGTTGGTGAGACAAATCCTTTGATTGGCTCTTTACTCCAGGAGCGACAAGATGTTATTGCAAGGATTGCTCAACACTTGGAGCATATTGATCCAACTGCATCACATATACCCCGGCAGTCATTCAACATGCATGACTCCAATTCGGTTCCTTCGAAAGTATTTAGGAGTACATATGAAGACAACAATTTGTGGAAGAAAAACAAGGATGTTACCTCTGTTTCCATTTCCAATACAAAAATTTCCTTGTTAGAAGACAGCAGCGAAGGGGAAAACTTAATACCCAATAAATCATTTAGTTATTTTAAATGTAATGGTAAAGTCGAATCCTCTTTGAAACCTCAAATAAGAAGAAATCTGTATCAGGACAATCCTAGTGAAACCATCCAAAATACTTTTCAAGAGACACAGAACAAAGCCACTAGTTTATTGACTCCCTCAAATATGCCTCACTGCAAAAAAAATAACTTAGATTTGACAGTCAGATTGGAAAATACACTTTCTGAGTGTCAATTTAAGAAGCAAGAAATTAGCAATGAAACTGATAAAAAGTATTCAAATTGCAACAGTATTGACAAACAGACTTGCACAGATAAGTATAAGGAAAAAAGAATAAAAAATGAAAATTCTAATCCAGAATATTTTAAGAATCATGAATTTGATAACTCCAAAAAAGATGACTCAAAAATAAAAGCTACTATGTTGGAAATGTCTGAATATTTGAACAAACATGAAAACAAGTGCTCAAATAAAGACTCAGAAAGGCCTAAGACATGTGAGCAAAATACTCAACTTAATAGTATAGAAAATTATCTCAATAAAGATAATGAAGTTCACAAATGCAAAAAGCCAGACCTATTAAAAATTGAACAGGATAAGAAAGAAGAGATAATTGATGAAAAATCTCAAAACTGTTCTCAGAGAAAGAAAGTAAAAGACTGTTTGTCTACATGTGAACAACTGAAAAATACAGACGTGTTGGTAGGTAACATCTAATATTTCAAATATAATTCTCAAACATTTATCATGGTTTCAATTTTGTTTACAGAAGATCTAGTTATAAAGGCCTAAGGTGCCCATTAATTATAGTAAATACAGTCAGTTCTAATAAACCTGCTACAAAACTAGTATTAACATCTTTGGAAAATAACCTACTTACTTAAGAGCAAATGCTAGGTGAATTCTTCCCATTGCCCTTTTTTGGTTATTTCAACACTAGACAATTGCTGGAGGGTAATTAGGAGTCAGAAATGAAACTCACATCAGCTTAATGTATCATTTGTTAGTAGCTCTGGCCTAATACAATGCACCCGTTGTAATGCCACTGCTCAGCTAGGGATTTTAGGAATATCTATAGAGAAGTCACGAGGCTGTTTGTTGGTTAGAATGCCTGGGTTCCTGTCCTGACTTCACAATTTTGACCTTAAGTCACTTAACTTCTAAAAACCTCAGTTTCCTCCGTTCTAAAATAAGAATGATAAATCACTTTTGCCTATCTCAGAGTTGTGACAATCATATAATAGATTTTAAGAAATTTTGTGAATCTTTAATGTACTATATAAATAAAAGATACTTATTTACATTTTATTTAACTTTCTACCAAACCATTTTTTAGCTTTAGAAAATTATTATTAGGCAGAGAGAGGAACACCGAGAATCCAAAGCAGGAACCCAAGCCATTAGTGCAGAGCAGGATATGGGGCTCAAACCCACAAACCAGAGATCATGACCTGAGCCGAAGTCTGACATTTAACCAACTGAGCCACCCAGGTGCCCCTGGAAAAGTACTTTTTAACTGTCTTGACCTAAATCTGAATGTCCTTAGTTTATCTTCTTTATCAGTAAAATTAGTTCTGCTGGACATACGAGTTTTAATAATTGTACCATGTTTCCAATTTCTGTTTTTCAATAGAATATCTAACATGGATTGTATCAAATGGTAGTTTGCAATTTTCTAAAACTATAATTGTCACAAAAACAGTTAGCTTTTCATGATCCTTTCTGGTACCTAAAAGGAAAACTTAATTTGGCCACTGTATTTTTCAAGCTACTAATATTCGGTTTTTCATGCTCTTGTTTTAAATATAATCATACAACATTTACTAAGTGCCCAGACACTCTTCTGAATATTTTACACATATTGGCATAGTTAATCCTTCCACTAAACTATGAGAGTAAACTAGAGTAAACTCCAGTTTACAAATGAGGACCCTAGGACTGGAGAGCTTAAGTAACTTGCCCAAGGTCTTACAAAGCTAGTAAGTGGCAGAGCCAGGACCCAAATTAGACTTTTCTGATTTCTATGTGTTGCTATGAATTTCTAGTGTTTGGGTTTAAACTTGACTAAATTCTTAAGAAATAGCTTGTTTCTGTATCACATCAAAAACATGGTACTGCAACTGCATTAGATATATTTTTAAATTCACATTTATTGTATTTCTGTGTCGTGCTCTACCAAATTACATGCTTTGAGAACGACTCTTAATATTAACGTAGTTTTATATTTTAGAATACTCTTTTTTCTACCTGTGAGTAGTTGTTTTTTCACAAATTAAAAGTATCAAATATTAGCTTACCAGATGTTAGACTCTGAGTATTTATAAATATGACCATATGTATAAGACGATTATATTTGGACATAGTTTCTTTAGAATATTTGAGTTTATTCAGTACTTTAGAAAAAAACTCTTAGACATTGTTTTATTAAAGTGTATATGTGTGTGTGTGTGTGTGTGTAGATCTAGATCTGTAGATGATTAGCATTACCACCCAAGATGTAATATCTCAGTACATATTAGGGATAAGACCAAAATTACTTAAATGTTATCATTAAAATTAATTATTTTCCTAGCAGAAGGCTATACCACTGAAACATTCAAGTGTCTGGCGGAAACATAATTTTCATTCCTTAGATGGAACCTCAACCAGAGCTTTTCATCCTCGAACTGGATTGCCTCTTCTCTCAAGTCCTGTAAGGTTTCTTTCTCTTATTTCATATTAATACTTGGAAACATCTAAAATGTTTACAAATTATTTTATCTGAATTGTAATTGAAAAAAATTTAAATGCACTTTTTTATTAAAAAATTTTTTTTTAATGTTTTTTATTTTATTTTTGAGAGAGACAGAGACAGAGTGTGAGCTGGGGAGGGGCAGAGAGAGAGAGAGAGAGACTCCAAAGCAGGCTCCAGGCTTCGAGCTGTCAGCACAGAGCCTGATGCAGGGCTTGAACCCACAAACCTTGAGATCATGACCTGAGCTGAAGTCAGCTGCTTAACCAACTGAGCCACCCAGGCACCCGAAAAATGTAAATTTCTTTAAAAGGAATTTCCAGTTAGAAACCACTTTTTAATACATTTAATAGCTATGTGTTAATATGAGAAAAGACTAAAAATATGAAAAAAATTAGGATTATAAAATTTCTCTGAAATTCTTTTGTCTAATCTTTTAATTATTACTAAATATAAAGAAAATATTTAGTGTCAAGTGGGTTTGTATAAATAAATTTGTATCTGAAGCTGTTGACATCACCAGCTGAGTTATTTGGGAATCAGATTTGTGGTTGTTATTGATTTGGAACCCATGCAGCATCTTATTTTGAGACATATAAATTTCCCCACTCTATATTTACAAATAGATTTGTAGATCTGAGTGCAATGGTTAGGAGTCTTGCTTTGGAATCACCCTGACTTCACCCTAGCATAATGTCTGCTTTAGTATTATGGGGATGATTAATATAATTCCTAACACATAGTAAGCTATCAGTTGTTAGCTGGTATACCTGCCATTTCAGTTAAACCTGAGTCAAGTGATCAATATCAGGGAGAAGTAAAAGCATATATATTTTGCTACTGATAGAAGATAATTTTTGGTGCTTTGCGTGTTTTTTTTTTTTTTTACGTTATTTATTTATTTTGGGAGAGACAGACAGTGTGAGTCCGGGAAGGGCAGAGAGAAAGGGAGACAGAGAGAATTCTCAAGCAGGCTCTGCACTGCCAGTGTAGAACCCAATGTAGGACTCAAACTCATGAAACCGTGAGATCATTCCTTAAGCCAAAACCAGGAGTTGGACGCTTAACCGACTGAGCCACCCAGTCACCCTACTTTATCTGTGTTTTTTTTTTTTTTTTTAATTTTTTTTTTCAACGTTTATTTATTTTTGGGACAGAGAGAGACAGAGCATGAACGGGGGAGGGGCAGAGTGAGAGGGAGACACAGAATCGGAAACAGGCTCCAGGCTCTGAGCCATCAGCCCGGAGCCTGACGCGGGGCTCGAACTCACGGACCGTGAGATCGTGACCTGGCTGAAGTCGGACGCTTAACCGACTGCGCCACCCAGTTGCCCCTATCTGTGTTTTTTTAAGTAAACTCTAAGGATACAATATCTGGCCTATGTTCAAAAAATAATTATTGAATAAGAGATCTTGAATTTAAATTTATAACTTGGACCTTAGGTGTTTGTCTTAGAGAAGCTGAATTCCAAACAACTTAAAATAACCCCAAACATTTGACCTAGGTATGAGGTACTTTCGAAAGACCCAAGTGATCAGGAAAAAAGATTTGTCAGCATCATACTGATAAAAAGAGCATTGTAGACTTCTGTTCAGCATGGTAGACTGAGTTCATCTACAAAGACTCTTCCTCCCAGAGACGGAAATCATGGATAGAATATAACCTTTAATAAAAATAATATGTAATACCTGATATAACCTTTAAGTACATAATATAATGTAAGAGAAAGAAAGATAAATCTCCAAATACTCATATGAGGCAAATTATGGCCCTCTGGGATATCTGAACCTAATTTAGTGCTAGGGTTTAATGCCTCTGCTGGGACAGGTACAAACAGGGGGTAGGGATGCAAGGACTTACTTGAAAAAACTAAATAGAAATTTTAAATATGAAAAATATTTTAATTGCTGTATACACACACAACATGTGTGCCTACAAATACAGAAGGATTAACATTGAATCAGAATCAGCTGTATAGCAATGTAGTGATGGGTGGACAGATGCTAAGAAAGCATCTTGAATAAAGTACAGAAAGGAAGAGAGTTGGTAAAATATGGAAGAGCCATGGAGGATTAAATGAGATGCTGAATAGAAGTGTAGTACAAATTCTAAAAGTAGAACTAAGTGGAACAAAGAAAATGCAGTATCAGAAGAAATGAAGGTAAAGAACTTTTCAGAATTGAAGACATGAGAATTTAGATTGAGAACTTCACATTAAGTTCTTTTTTTATCTATAATTTTTTTGAAGTTCATTTTGAGAGAGAGCACAAGCAGGGGAGGGACAGAAAGAGAGGGAGAGAAAGAATCCCAAGCAGGCTCTGCAGGGTCAATGCTCAAACCCAGGAAACTGTGAGATCATGACCTGAGCCAAAATCAAGAGTCAGACGTTTAACCAGCTGAGCCACCAAGGTGCCCCCAATTAAGTTCAAGCTACAAAAAATAGCATGGTGCACTCATGAAAATCTCAAAAATATTGAGATTGCTTAGACATTCAGTATTATCTTTTTTCTTAATGATGAATGTACTGTATACAATACATATTTATTCTAGTAACAAGTCTTTTTAACTTGCATGTTGTATGTGATTTTAACTTTAGTTTACATTTGGGTCTTTTTAGGATATTTTCAGCTAGATGGTGGTTGGATCATGGTCTTAAATGTAATGTGTGGTATACAATGGTGGTTGAACATCTGGAGCAGTATTTTTCAAACCTATTCTTTGTGAAGCCCCAGAGTTCTTAGAAATGCACAGTGGGTAGGGAGGGACAAAGGAGCAGCAGAGTTGGCAGGACTCCAGGCTCCCATCACCATTTAATTTTTTGTTGTTGTTTATTTTTATTTGAAAGCTATAAGTCTTTTACTCCTTCACAAATACAGAAGTACGGTTGACCCTTGAACAACACGTATAGAATACATATAACATACAAAATATGTGTTAATTGGCTATTTATGCTGTTGGTAAGGCTTCCAGTCAACAGTAGGCTATTTAGTAGTTAAGTTTTTGGGGATCCAAAACTTTTTGTGGATTTTCAACTGCAGAGGCTGGGCGGGGGGGATTAGTGCCCCCTAATCCCTGTGTTGTTAGAGGGTTAACTGTATATAAAGTAAAAAAAGTAAAAGTCTTATTATATATTGAGATTCCATGTAAGATTTTGTTTTAGAAAAAACATTCTGCTTCTTAAATAGTCAAAACCTAGTAAAAGTGCTTTTGTTAATCATTTATTTTTTTTCTACCAGTTAATAACATGAGAAATAAGGACAATATGTAATAAAGAGTATGATTGTAAGTAGACTGGGGAGAAGTTATAGTATTTGTAAAATATGCTTAACTTTCATTTGAAAAGTGTTCTGTCAATTCAAGAAAAAATTACAGTCTTTTTAAATATCACAAATGATTGTTTTGACCTTAGGTTCCTCAAAGAAAGACACAATCAGGTTGCTTTGATTTGGATTCTTCATTACTGCATCTGAAAAGCTTATCATCTGGAAGGTATTTATATTAAAACTGATTTGTGTATTTGAAATAATATACTAATTTCTAGTCTTGTGTAATAAATGTTTACTCTAAAAATCACAATTCTAATAGGAATATTATTTTCTAGTTGGGTATCATTTTCAATATTAATTTCACACAGTTATTAAGGATGAAGGGAGAAATTAAGACAATGAGTAGCTAGTGTATATTGGTCATCATAATAAATACATTGGTTTTAGCACTTAAGTAAGTTTGAATATTTCTGGTCATTCACCTCCTCCTTTACCTTACACTTCTTTGCAAAAAAAAAAAAAAGCCTTGGAAATGTGTCCATGTTGACAAATAATACTCTCCTTATTTTCTTTAGTCACATAATTTTGCCTTTATATTCTCATTTTTAACTGAAAATGAAGACTGATAAAGAAGACTGCATTATATATTTCTAGCAGATGCCACTATGTGATATAAATTCTGCCTTGAAACCTTCTAGGGTATTACTTACATTTTTTTCGTCAAATATTAGAACAAAGACCATAAAATCTAATCAGGAATTTAAACTAGATATTTCATATCTTAAAATTTGGTTGGATTATTTTTTTATCATGTAGTTTAAGTAAAATGGATCAAATTCTCCTAATTTAATTTTATACAAAAAATAAATTAGAAAATACTGTGCTTAATGTGTTTGTTTGCTGATTTTCTTTTTAATAGTCATCGACCGTGTTTAAACACTGAAGATGATCCAGATATTCATGAAAAACCATTTCTGAGTTCTAGTGCTCCACCTATAACAAGTCTTAGTCTCTTAGGAAATTTTGAGGTAATGTTTTTGAAAACTATTTTAAGAGTTGAAGTTTCTTTTTTTTTTTTTTCCAACGTTTATTTATTTTTGGGACAGAGAGAGACAGAGCATGAACGGGGGAGGGGCAGAGAGAGAGGGAGACACAGAATCGGAAACAGGCTCCAGGCTCTGAGCCATCAGCCCAGAGCCTGACGCGGGGCTCGAACTCACGGACCGTGAGATCGTGACCTGGCTGAAGTCGGACGCTTAACCGACTGCGCCACCCAGGCGCCCCAAGAGTTGAAGTTTCTTAACCTAGACCTAGGGTGTTATTTATATCATTTGTTTGTGAAAGGGAAATAAATAAATGGATTGTATTTTTTCAAAGCCTTGAAATCTTTCCCTTTTCCTTTCTGTGAGAAGTGAAGTTAGAATTGTTGGTACTGCCATCTTATAACTGGGTACCTTGTAGGGGAGTTAGAGGACTTAGGTAAACTGGAGTGAGGTGTCTGTTACTCTAGCCAGAGAAGGGACTTGACCACACCTTACCTGATAGTACTGGTTCTGAGTCCCAGGAAGGAGGATGGTGGACTGATAGGAGCCCCTTCATGATCAAGGAGGTTAATTTTCAAAATCAAATGTTTTTTTGTACTATACTTGTAACTCTTTTGCAAATCTAAATCTATTCTCTTTTTATTTTTGGGAAAGGGAGAGCAAGCAGAGCGCGGTGGGGGGGGGG